ACCACCCAACGACTCCAGAAAAACAGGTTTCTACCTCTCATTCCTTGAGAGCGCGATCTTCCACCCACAGCAGCTTTGGGCATGTGCAATACCTGCAAGAAAATAGCAGGCCGCCAGCGCGAGAACCGAGATCACTTGGTGTTGGAAAGAAAGTAAATCGAAAAATCCTCTCTCAACGACCATTTCGTTCTCAAACAGACATTTCAACGGTATGGCGAGAATTGCGGTCCCGCTCGTCCGTCTCTGCGCCCATTTCAATTGAGCCAGCTCGAACACCACCACCCACCGGACCTCTCCCGCAGCCCCCAATCCCATCCCATTCTCAAACCGTGGCTCCGATATCTCCTTTGCTCGTTCCTGGTCGTGCCCCTTTGGTTCATACCGTGCCTTCGTCGACTGTTCCCTTGCTCGCTCCCCTGATAAATTCCATGCCCATCATCCTTCCGTCTTACCAAAACCTCCTCGGTTTTTGCAAGGGAGCATTTCGACTTCAAGCCGGCATGGAGCGCAAGGCGTTCACCATTGCCAACCGTCCTCACGGCTTGTCTGGAATGACCGCATACTGGCGCTGCGAGAAGTGCAGTTTTGAGGGACCTGTTTATCACACTGTCAACACCTCCAATGACAAAAAGAAGAAAGGAAAGCCTGAGAGAGTCTTTGATCCTAGAATTCGTGTTTCGGATGGTGGGGGTGTAAGGTATCGTTGGACGTTCCTGGCCAGATGCCATGTGTCTTTGAAGGGAATGCCACTTGGCGATACACCGTCTGGTAGGGACGGAAGTTTCGGGAGTTTCGGGTGCATCTTTTGCTGCGCGGAGGGCATGTATCGAGGATGGCTGGACATATCAGGGGCAGGTATGTCTGGAGCGAACGGCAGTACGAAATCGGGCAAAGGGAACAATCCTGCGGCAAAGACGAGGGACGTGGCAAAGGCAACGACACCTATCTTTGGCAACGTACAAAGCTTCATGCAACATCTCGAAGGCGTCCATCGGCACCAGGACGGCTGGCCGAACGCCGAGATGGTTGGTCGCTTCCACGTTGTGGTGGGCAGAACGGCACTGGCAGAAGAAACTGACTGGGAGTTGAATTTTGTTCCACCGCGAACAGGAATGTTCCAAGTGGATGCGCCTGGTTCTCGATCTGGCCAAACAGGCTTCATCTTAGAACTCGTTACACCCGACAGTCTCTCAGCCGTGTACCTCGTTCGTGGCGTTCCAGGACACTTCGAATCAGTGAAAAGTGTCTGTTTCCGATCCTATTCCTATCTTGAGAGATTTATATACTGGCTTGAATCTTTTGCCCAGCAGTCAAAGCGCAAGGCAATGCTTGGTAGATCACAGCCTCACCATATTGGTTCTACTGCTCCGAGTCTGCCTTGTGAAGTGCCAAGGCGCATGCACGTCGCTTATGCAAAGAGTTGGCGAATGGGCAGCAATTGTTCTAGGCACAAGGGCAGGTCTTTCCGATCTCATGTTGTTGTATCGCAACAACCAAGTCATATCCTCGACCCTCTGACGTCCTTTGAATGTTTCATATCGCAACAATCGACCGAACATCTCTTTATGTACATCCAGACTGTCTAGCGAAACAGCAGCCTGCCGTTCCCGTCCCAGGAAATATCGCTAGAGTCCGTCTTCTGCTTCAGCCGCACAGTTGTCCTACATCGCTTCGGCGCCATGGAGGCTGTGGCCACGCTAAGTCTCGTATGCAATATCCTTCAAGTGGTAGACTCATCGGTCAAGGCAGTGGAGATATGCAGCCAGTTCTACAAGTATGGTGCGACCATTGACATTGAAAACTTGAGTTACATCTGTGATCAACTGTCCCAAACCTCCGCTGCTCTTGGCAAGGCTCAGACGGTCTCTCAACTGTCCAGAAGTGACACTGGGCTGGTCGAAGTTGGCAAGAAGGTCCACGATGCGGCAGAGTCTCTCGGTAAAGAGCTCAACCATCTCAAAAGTGCTCCTGGGGCAGGCCGGAGAGTCGCAGTTAAGAAAACACTGACCCTGAAATGGCGAGCTACCCGCATCGATGGGCTAAAAGGGAGGCTTGAAGGACTTGTTCAGGTTCTGAACACCAAGATCCTTGTACATTTGAGGTCTGCCACAAGATCTAAAACCGAATGGAAGCTCACCACTAATGACTCTTTCACAGCGAAAGACTGAGTGTCACCATTCGCGACAATGGAGAAATCTTGAAGAAGTTAGACGATAGGCAAGAGAAGATTGCGCGAAGGATCGCAGAGGGTACCACGACTGTGGAGCAGCTTGTCTCATCAATGGGCGGCCAGACAAGAGCTCACGTCACTGAGGAGCATATTGTCACCAGAACCCGTATTCATGCTGTCGACGAGAAACTAGACAAACTTGTGGGCATTCAACATCACAAGGCCGGGTTTGACAAGTTTATGGAAAGCCTTCATTTTCCGGAGATTAATCTGCGACAAGACACTATCAAAGATGTTCATGAGAAGACGTTCGAATGGATATTCGAGAGACGCGATGATACACAGCAACGTTGGCACGATTTTCCCAAGTGGTTACAAAATGACCAACCGTTGCATTGGGTACTGGGTAAGCCCGGCAGTGGCAAATCCACATTCATGAACTTTCTCGTGCAAGATGGCAGGACGCTGGGTGCACTGGAATCTTCAGGCCAATCAACGATTGTGCTATCTTTCTTCTTCTGGGAAGCCGGTGTGGAGTTGCAGAAAAGCCGCGTCGGTCTTCTACGCTCTTTGATATATCAACTCCTCAAGGCTATCGACCAGCAAAAGGCACTCCGGGTGTGGTACGATATTGTCCAGCCTCACGTCCCAGCGCTGCCCACCATATGGACCAGTAAGCAGCTCCTTCGTCTCCTACAACTGATTGTACAGGCCGTGGATCAACGCTTCTGTTTCTTTCTTGATGGGCTCGACGAATTCCGAGACGATGTTGACGGGACTACGGCTATCAGGGCCATACAAGATGTCTTGAAGGATCAAAACCGCACAAAGCTGTGCATCTCCAGTCGACCACAGACCAGTCTGGATGCACTATATCAAGGATGCCCGAAGATTATCATGCAGGATCTCACAGAAACAGACATCAGAAGTTATATCGAAGATAACCTCACCGGGAGTCCGTTGACCAGTCACCTTGGTGGTACAAGCTCAATGCAGGCGTCTCAACTTGTGGATGAGGTCGTTGTAAGGGCTGATGGTGTGTTCCTTTGGGTCACTCTTGTTGTCAAATCATTGTTACGCGGCATCAAGAACGAGGACAACTGGGAAACCTTAATGGAACGTCTTGACCAGCTGCCGTCCGAGATCTTTGACCTCTACGCACACATGTGGAAAAGGATGGCAGACGATTATCCAATATACGCCAAGGAAGCTGCTCTTTATCTGAAAATCATCCAGTGTTTCGGGCAACAGAACCTCTTCCAAATGACCATCATGGCTGACGACCATCTGCGCGCCCACTTCTCCAAGTCAACAGCCACCTGGGGGATGGAACAATTTGAGATGGAGGTGGATCACAACAAAACAGAAAAAAGAATTGCCGTGTGTTGTGCTGGGTTCCTGGAGGTGTCATACAAGCCCCCTGATCACTTTCTCGAAAAAGAATTAGAAGTGCGGAAGACACGGCTTGAACAGAGCGCCCTGAAGCAACAGCCTCAAGTTCTTCAGCGTTTGTTGCAATACTATCGCTTGGAGATGACAACAACCGTTGACTTCGTGCACAGGACAGCTGCCGAATTTCTGCGTACCCCTACTGGCCAAGGATTGCTGCAAGCTCGGCTGTGTACGGAAGAAGAGCTAGTTGAGCGGTATCTCAGCTCAGCTCTCATCCTACATTTTCTTTCTCCGCCGGAGTCGCCCACGGTGACTGTGGACCAGATGTGGCCCTATTATCTGTCGCAAATGAAGTCTGATGCAGCCTCCGAATTCTTCTCGGAGCTGGAAGACGTCTTTAAGAAACTCTCCCACTGGCGTTGGTGGAATTTGGAGGACTTGGACAGTGGACCGTTCAGCCTTTCAAGTCGAAACTCCCGCAACGACCTAGACTACATCAAGACCTTCATTAAATTCTGTCCCCCTCAGTACGTGTTGAAGAAGCTTACTGAAGGAGGGCTCGCAGAAGACCGGGATTATCTCACCGAGTTACTTGAAATGTGGACTACCATTGATCAGCATGGATATGAAGATGATCTTTCTTTCCGGAACGCCCTACTTCTACTTCAACGCGGAGCTGACCCCAACAAGACGTGCCACTGGGATGTTGTAGTCAACCCGCCGCCCCTATGGTCAGTTGTCCTGTTCAAACTTGCATGGAAATACCAACCCCCAAGGTTGACAGACGTTATGACGGAGGTGCTGACGGCGCTGCTGAAAGCCGGCGTTGATCCCAACGCCAGTGTTATGCGTTGCGTCGACATTTTCATGTGGCAGGAAGGCCGAGCACGAACGATGTCTTCGCCTTTGATTTTGTTCAGATGGAGCGTTTGGGATATCGTCACAAACGCCTTCAGTGTCCCTGTCGATAGCATCAGCAGCCTCCTACGCAATGCAGGAGCGGTAAGCTCGGGGGAAAACCTCTTTTACACGTTCCGGAGGCTGTCATGGTGCGTGTATCCTACGCGGACTCTAAAAGGACGTCTCAACGACTTTATCGGTTTATTCCAAGCACCCAGCGATTTCAGCTATCGTGCGAATTATTTCAGCCTGGTCAATTTCCTAGATTCAAATGAAGCTGAGCCCTGTTTCTTCGACAATGGGCTGGAGGTATTCCATGCTGCCGGATGGACCGACGAAGAGATCCGCACAACCCCGGGACTTGAGATTCTATGGCAAGAACTTCAACATGAAACTGATGACTCCGGCGCCATCTCCTAGGAATCCTAGCTACGTAGGTAGCAAGGATAAGAGCATTTTACCTTACTATCTTCTGAACGACACAGAGCTATTCGGGGCTTGGTCGAGTATGTTACATATCAATGACCATTCAGCCAGTTCAGAGCAAGACCAGCGTCTCGCGCCAACGGTCTGCCGTGCTCCACACCCGGTCCGTCACGCAGAGCACCGTGCTTCGAACCACATACCCTTCCTTGCGCTTGATCATCATCGTCATGACCAGGACCTGGTTGCTGAGGCGGTGGAAACCCCTGGCGATGCCGAGAAACTCGCGTGGTCCGGAGGACTGGAGCTTTCCGCCTGACGCCGCTTCGGCGGGATAACAATCGGCAAAGAGCCCCGGGGCTGATTCGACATGTCGTTGTTCGTCGAGAGACCATGCATCTCCGCTGCTGGGTTTGATGTGCAATAACGCAACCTCTCCCGTGAAGGAGAGTGGTGGGCAGCCGCCAGCCCCGGGTGAGAATGTAGGGGGGAGGCCGGGTATGGGTTCGAGCTCCTCGATCCGCGCAAAGTCGGCTTGGAAGACGTCGAATTCGCGGAAGTAGACGGGCTCGGCGTCCCAGCTGGCCCAGGAGTAACTGGGAAACGCGAGGTTCGTGCGCTTCGCCAGCTGCAAGTGTCGCCACATGAGGGCGCCCGCGATACAGCCCCATTGCATGGGCATGCCGTGCCAGCCGGAGATGCCGTGGCTCTCGGCGATGGTGTTGATGCAGCCCTGGACGGCGCGGATCTTGTCGCTCTCCAGACTGAGGCGGCGGCGATGGTACAGCCGCATGACGTTGTTGAAGAGGCTCGAGATCCGCGGCTCCTCGAGAATCTGGCCGACTCCGGCGGGGAAGCCGAGCTCGTGGGTCTGGAAAACCCGCGTGGCCAGCCCGTTGCGGATGTGAGGACGGCACGAGCGCAGCGACTCACGACTAGTCCAGCGCGTGCAGCAGAAGAGCACCTCTTCGGCCGTGAAGATGAAGCATCGCGGCGACAGCCAGCCTTCCTGGAACGTCCACGCCCGAGTCCACCAGGCTGACCGTGTGATCAACTGCTTTGCAGGGAGGTGGTTTGTTGTAAACTCTATGCCCTGGAGGCGCACAGTTGGTCGGTCGTCCGTACGGGTTCCAGGGCGGACACCGGGGAGTCCAGCATTCGCGTCGTCCCCGGCCGCGGCGATGATGGTGACTTTGGCGTTCATGTAGATCGTGTGCATCCTGTCGATGAGGAAATCTTTCATGTCTTGATCGTCCTGGTCGATACAGAGAGAGTCAACCCACAGGAAGGGAATACCTAGCCCGCAGCAGAATTCGATCGCGTCTGAGATGGTCGAGGGGAGGTCCCGAGGGAGATCTGCACCGGGCTTCTGGTTTCCCCCGTTTGACGGGGCAATCTCTTTCAAGGATATATACTTGGGTTGAGCATCGCCCCAAACGTAGCTGAGGGTTGCATACTCTGCATTCTGATCGGCGAGGACAATTTTCCTCTCAACGGTGTCGATCAACCAGAAATGCTTCTCTGGAGCTGCGCTGGACTTGAACTCGCGCAACAAGCACTCTTCATGGTTCTGCAAGCACGAATCGAGCCAGGACCTCAACTCAGAGTACTCGACTTGCGGAGCAACGGTTCGTCCCCCCAGCGGTGCTCGCACCCGGTCTCCCAAACACGGAACAAGGCGCTTTTGGCACGTAATCGCCATGCCCTCGTCGGGGTTTCCGAAGGCCTGTCCACCGCTGTGAACGAGAATCTCGAGCCACGTGGCGGTAGGCTCGTCGAGGTAGTCTTTCCAGGCCATCATGGGCAAGTCCTGGAGATGTTCCATGTCGCCGCGGAAGCTTCTCAGGCTGACGATCACGTCGTCGGGCCCAAGCGTGTCAGTCCCGTATCTCCAGTGGTCAATCGGCGCGGGGACCCGATGGGAGTGCTCCTTGTACTCGAAGTGCTCGGGCTTGACCGCCTCGGGGGAGATGACTGGGGGGGTTTGATCGACGATCAGGCTGCAGAAGGGACAGTGGCTGGCACAGTCGCGGAGGTGGGAGAGGGTGCCGAGGTGGACTCCAGGACGCAGTTCTCCTGCGACATCCTCTGTCGCTGGGGCGAGGAGGGCATTCACATCCAGTGCCTCGCATACTGAACAGAGAGTGCCAGGGACAAGTTGGTTGTGTCGAGCCCGGCATTTTCGTTCAGGCAGGGTATAGGGGGGAACTGGCTTAGCCTCCTGAGGGGATCTGAGGGTTGAAGACTCCATGACGGGATTTTGCTGGTCAGCAGCGACCTATGAGCGACCTGCTTACCTAGTAGGTACCTATGTAGGGGAGTATCGGAGTATCGACATCTTCTCAAAAGGCCGCAAGATGCTCTTATAGCAAAATACTGAATGGTTGCCTTGTCACCTCCCAGCAGAGCTTCAGCCCCCTTGCCCGGGGAGTTTCGAACTTCGGCCAAGTTTGCCTGGCAGTGGGTCAAATTGCGGCTGAGTTTGTCTCGAGGAGCTTGGCTCAACATTACCAAAGTAACTTGTGCGTATCCATACCAAGAGCCGACCGAGTACATAGCACGAAACCAACAAGACACTTTGCTCGTGGTGTGGGCATCTCACCCTCTGACGCGACACAAGAAGAGATCCTCTTGACATGTTACATGCTACATGTTGTTGGGGCGGAGCTAGCTAGCCTCTGAATTGGGTTCCTACTATTCCTATTATCTCGGCGCTTGATCATGAAAGGGCAGGATAAGGAAGGTATACTGTAATCACAAGAGGACACAAAGACACAAAGACGGGTGCCTCCTGGATCTCGCCAGCGGGACGGATTGGGATGAGAATCGCCTAGGTAGTCCCCCCCCTCTCGAGTACTCCCTATAAAAGGGAATGAATGAACAAGCTCACTTAAAGATTACTTACCCGAGACTTAAAGAGGAAACCTACTTGGTACGGAGTACGAGAAGACCATGAACTGAAACTGAAATGAATTTGACTTGTACCAATTCGAGTCGCTCTCGCAGGAGATGGTTGTTGCCTTGGTAGATAGGTAGATAGATACCGCTCTCTACGAACGAAATATCTCGATGCTCGACTCGGGTCGCCAGCCAGCCTTCTGGGTGAGCTTTCTCGATGCTCTGTCACGGCCCTATTGCGACGGCCTCGCTCCCTTTCCCCTTTCTTTCCTGAGTGAAATGGCGACCTGGTGGCACATTTCGGAGTATATCTTCGCATGGCTTTATTCATCTTGTCGATCTTGTTGACGGGTCTCGGCCTTATCTTTGGGACCGATTGGACCGAGCAGCGTCTGTAATCGCCGGAAGGCTATAATCCAGAAATCCGAGTAAAATGGTCCAAGTTGAATGAAAGTTGCGTGCACCTCGTTCTTGACAGAGGTATCTCTCTCCTTGAAAAAGGAGTGACCATAAAACCACGCACCAAGGCACAATCACGAGAACAAGACAGTTGGAGACTGCCTGGAACCATTTGATGATAGGGGCCCGTGGCCCTACGACTGATGTGTCGAGGTACGCTGTCTTGACGACCGTTCCTTGGAATGATTGATACCCGGCTGCTGTCACCGTCATCGTCCTCGTCGCCGTCATCTCGACTCTCGTACCGGGTTGATAGAGAAAGCATTGCCGTCAATCCCTGGTTTTATTGGCTAGGGGGAAACCATGAAATTGATTTGTTTCTGTGGCTCTGCTTTTTATGACCCCCGAGACAACTTGAAGTTGAACACGGACCGAGTCCTTGACGTATCGCTTTCGCCGTCGCGGTCAAACCCACTGAAAACGCAGGAGTCGACCTTGGGACCCGGACTGGTTACTTGGACAAGGCGACTTGTGACTGTCAGGCGCGATGTCGTCTGTGATGATGGCATTCTCGTCGAGTATCACACTACCTTGATAGTGTGTATCGGCCAGCGAGACTGTCACGTCAGGAGCAGAATGGTCTGCGACTCCCGCAGGACGGTGCTCCACGAGACGTGCAACTCTCCCGCATCGCGTCGCCGCCACACTTCCTTCGCCACCATCTCTGCAGCCTCGGCGTTCTGGAACCCGGCCCAGGCCGCGTGCCTCATGCAGAGGATGGCTCGGCGACGAAGACTGTCGCCCAGCGCCTCACACGCGGCGATGAAGCTGGGCCACACGGTGACGCCCAGCCGCACGCCGGGGAAGAAGCACTGTTTGCTCTCGTGGTGCATTTCGAGGTTGCTGAGGATGCTCTCGACGTAGTGCTGCAGGATGATGGGGTTGGTGCCGCGCACGAACCGGAAGAAGTAGACCATCAGTGCGTGGTGCATGGCCGTCGCGATGTTGGATTTCATCGTCTGCGAAGGGTCCGGCATGCTCTCGGCAGAGCTGCAGCTCAGCAGGTCAAACGGGTTGTTGTTGTTGCTGTTGCTGTTGTTGTTGTTGTCGCCGCTCTCGGCGGGCCGTTGTGGTGTCTCCCAGTTGCAGATGTCTCGCTCCAGGGCCGCGGCCGCGTCGACCAGGCTCGCAGGCATGTAAGGCTGCGACGTGCCGTGGTGCTGCGGCGGGTCGACCTGGGCGACCATGTTGTTCGTCCGGGCGATCAGCTTCAGGATCGACGCCGGCATGCCGTAGAAGTCGTTGAAGGATTCCTCCTCGGGCCCGCTCAGTCCCAGGTCCGACCACGTCTCGTAGTTGGACGCGAGGGTCGTCGAGTAAGGGAAACTGTCCTCGGGGATCTTCTTGACGAGCTCGACCTCGTTGGCGAGCATGGGCTTCTTGCCCAGCGTGACGAGGTACTGGTCCCGCGTCTGGACGAAGGTGGTCTTTTCAATCACCCTGATGTAGGCGAATATTCGATGTAGTTGGAGTGCTTTCTTGGAAAAGGCCTCCTTCTTCCGACCGATCTTGTTGACAATCTCTTCGCATTGGAGGATGAAAAGTCGCGAGTCCCACGGATCACCACTGACGATCTATTTTCCACAACTATTAGCTCTCGAGTCTCTCCTAGAGGCTTGGAACATAAATGCAGGACAGAGGCGTAGACTCACCCCGGTACAGATCAGGTTCATGGCGCTCACAAAGAGCTCTTTGTATTTGATCTGTTCTGGTTGCTCGGTGGACATTGCTTGCAAACATTTGCGAAAGGCGGTCCGCGCAATCTCCCGAAACTTGAGGCCTTGCGAGTTCCAGTATTGCAAGTTCGTCGCCTGGTCGTCGGACGACAGGAGCTGCATCGTGTCCGGGCCGCTCACCGTGGCGGCAGGCTTGTAGAGAGTCGCGAGGTGGTAGCAGGTCAACGACAGGAGACTGTACAGGAGCGACACCCTGGCGAAGCCCGACTGGCCCATGATATCCAGTTCGCCATACGCGGTCATGGCGTAGGGCACGTGGATACTTTTCCAGGGGGCTTCGTTGTGCGGTAACCCAGAAAGAGAGGATATGACATGGTTCATGTAGTGAGATAGCAGGAATCGGACATTCGAGGGCACGTAGGGCGATCCATTGGACAGGGACGAGGCAGCAGGGTGTCCATATGTCGCGATGCCCGTAAATCGTGGCTGAGAAAGCTGGATGTCATCTTGAAAGGGTGTGCTGGTGCCCGGTATATTTGTACCTGTTTGCTGCATTTGAGCCACGGGCACGGTTTCAACGACCTGATAGGAAGATCCTTCCTTACCTTCAATCAGCGGCGTGTAGGCGGCGTTGGTGAAAGAATAATTGTAACTTGCTCCAGTAGGGGTTTCGGCAAATAGTGCTTGAGATCCCACACTGTTGTCCGACACGGACAACGACCAGTCAATGCCGTCCAGACATGCTGTCGCTGCTTCGCGATCGCCGTCGAGAGAAGACATGGACTCTGGCAGTTGAATGGTCATCTCCGACTGCTCTAGAGCTTCGACATTTTCAGCGACGGAGACGGAGACGGGGACGAGGGCGGGGACGAGTTGCAAGACAGAAAAGGGGCCCTTGGAGATTTGCCAGCCTTTCTTATCGACCCGCGAGTTCTTGGACTCCTTGACCTGTTCATCGAGGCGGTCGAGGACTTGGTCGAGGTGCTGTTGTGGGTTTTGGCCGGTTGAGAGATGCCGAACCAAGTCTTCGGAGAAGCGAGACCTCGAATGGGCTGACAGGAGAAGCAATCTTAGCTAGATGGACACGGGGATTATGTTCCAGGCCATCTAACACGTACCATCAAAGATCTCTGTTCGAGTGCGGCGCCCTTCTCCCCCCGCTGCTGCTCCCTCGGTCGTCGAGTTGCCTGGCGACGTCGAGTCAGGCTGTTCCGGATCCCAGACGGGCAGCCACTGGAGCTGGACTTGATAACCCCGACATTGCAGACCCAGCCGGACGCAGTTGTTACAGCTTGGACGATGTAAATCACATTTCACTTTGCGCGTCCGACACGTCAAGCAGCCTGTAAAGGTACGCGTCCGCGCCTTCGGGGCTGAACGGCGCGCTTGAGCCATTGATGTCGGGGGGGCATTGGGTATGGGGATTTCTTCAGAGTGAATGGAAAGAAAGAATGATTTTGGGTCCCTGGGAGGAGTTAAATTGGGAAAGGGAAGGCTTCGGCGACGAGGAGGACCCTCTGTCTTTGGCTTCATTGGTCGATACTTATCGCGTTGTTCTCCGGAATCCAGATTGTGGCGGCGGCGACCAGAGTTTCGGCAATGCTTCGCTTGGGTCGACGGGCAGCTTGCATTAGCAATGAATCTTATCCCGGCAACCAGGACTCGCAGGACCCTGTCTTCTTACTATCAGGTCATAGAAACAACTCCCGCGCCCCTCAGCCGCTCTTAGGATGGTTTGTTACAAGTTGATATGACTGTCCAAAACACATGGCCTCAAACCCTAATACTAGGACTTTACCATGGGCTTTAAGACGGCATTCGTGGCCGATTCAGGTCATGGGAGAAGGTTTAACAACGGGGCCCAAGTAAATCCGCCGGTCTGTATCTTGTAGTCCCTTTTTGTGTATCGGATTTGTACCTTGGGACGTTTCTTTTCCTTTTGGTGCAAGGGCGACGATGTTGTCCGAACAGGATGCATCCAAGCCACTCAGCCTTCTATCTCAGGGGTACGTATCAACTTCTTGCACGCTACTTCGGTGTACATGGTCTCTGATAAAAAGAACTTGACAGTGTCAAGCCCCTCAACTATAATATCCGAATCTTCAATATAGAATTCGGGGGAGAATGGACCTACGAAGGGCGGGTGGTGATCGATGCGGAAGCAACGGATCCTGCAAACCACGTCGTCATCAATGCCCGCGCCCTCGAGATATCTCGCGCTGAGGTGTCGTTCAATGACCTCAATAAATCTTCCTGTAAGTCTGCCGACTGATTTTGACATTGACACAATGACCGATAGTCACCCAGCGACATACTCGGCGACGTCAATAGTCCTGGGTGAAAAGTCTCAGCAGGCTCGCATATCATTCAAGGAAACCATCCCAAAGGGACCCTTGAGATTGGATGTCTCATTCAAAGGGAGCATCGATCATTCCATGGTCGGCTTTTGTCGTGCCAGATATGAGCCAGAGTCAGATACCAGCGCCGCGGGTGTCAAGGTCGGCAAGTATCACTGGCAATTAACCACCCACTTTGAGCCCTGCGATGCACGCAAGGCCTTTCCTTGTTTCGACGAGCCGCACTTGAAAGCGACCTTTGAGCTTGAACTGGAGATCCCCGCAGAGTTGACGGCGCTAAGCAACATGCCTGAGAAGTCGACGCGACTACTCGAGGGAGCTCAAACCGGCTTGAAGGCAGTGCGTTTCGAGAAGACGCCCATCATGAGCACCTACGTGAGTGAAGTAACCCTCCCAAGATATCTGGATTCAGTGCTGAAGGGGCCCATCAGCTACTGTGCTGGGCCGTAGGTGACTTTGAATACATCGAAGCCCTGACAAAGCGAGAACACGCGGGCACGAGGCTTCCCGTGAGGATCTACACGACCAAGGGACTGACCCAATACGCCCACTTTGCACTCCGGGATGCCTGCGACGCCCTCGACTTCTTCAGCGAGAGCTTTGGCGTCGACTACCCCCTCCCCAAGTGCGACCAGCTCGTCGTCCACGAGTTCATCGGCGGCGCCATGGAGAATTGGGGCTTGATCACCTACAAGCCGACCAAGATCCTGTTTGATCCGGCCACCTCGGACAACCGGCTCATGTCCAAGGCCTCGTATGTCATTGCACACGAACTGGCTCATCAGTGGTTCGGCAATCTGGTCACCATGAGCGGCTGGAATGAATTGTGGTTGAACGAGGGCTTTGCGACCTGGGCAGGCTACCTTGCCGTGGACCATCTTCATCCTGGTAAGGAGAACTTCTTATTTTCACCTTGTTGACTTTTTGGACTAATCAAACAATGTAATATAGATTGGAATATCTGGGGTCAATTTGTGGTAAGTTTTCCCGTCTATGGGGATGGTTCTGTTGTTCATTGTTTGACCACGACACAGGGCGAAGCACTGGAAGAAGCATTCACGCTGGACTCTCTGAATTCGACACATCCCATCGAGTCACAAATCCAAGGCAGCTCTCAAGTGCACCAGATGTTCGACAGCATTACATACTGCAAGGGCAGCGCCGTGATCCGCATGCTGGCCGCGCACATCGGCCAGGACGCCTTCCTGAACGGCATCGCCGCTTACCTCAAAAGCCGCATGTACCAGAACGCCACCTCCAACGACCTCTGGACAGCTCTGTCCGCGGCGTCGGGAGTAGATGTGGCGAACATCATGGATTCGTGGATCCATGAAGCCGGATTTCCCATTGTCACCGCAGCGCCGACTGCTGATGGACTTCACCTGAATCAAAAGCCCTTTCCCAGGCACGGCGTGCAGCAGAGGACTACGTGCTGGCACGTCCCTCTGGGACTGGAGGGGGAGACTTTGTCCACCGCAGATCATACCCTCACGACGGAGTCAGGCATTATCAAGCAGAACCTCTCTCTGGCAAAACTCAACAAGGATCACGCCGGCTTCTATCGCACTGACTATCCCCATAACCATCTTCTGTCGCTGACGCACCTCTCGTCAGGGATGTCCTCCGCCGACAAAGTCGGGATTATCACGGATATCACGTCGTTGGTTTTCGCCGGGGTGAGACCTGCGGGAGAGCTACTGTCGGTGATGAGCGAGCTCCGGCACGAGAAAGATTGCTTCGTGTGGTCACAGATACGAAAGGCTGCGGTCGCGGTTGTCTCCTCCGTGTCTGACGACCCGCAAGTCGTCAATGTTCTCAAGGCTCACATCCGACGCCTGATGGCGGGAGTCAAGTCTGAAATCACCTGGACCGGATGTGCGGACAGCTACGTCAAGGGCGAGCTGGAGAAGACTTTGATCCAGCTCGCCGCTTTCGCCGACGACGACGAGGTCATTGGTGAAGTCCAGCGGCGCTTCTCCCTGTGGCGGAACGGCGACAAGGACGCCATCAACCGCAACCTCCAAACGCCCATCTTCAACGTCTCCGTCGCCCGAGGCGGGGAAGAAGCATACCGGGCCGTCAAGGCCGAGTACTTCCGCAACGAGACCATCGATGGCCGCGAACTCTGCATCGCCGCGCTGGGGCGAACGAACCTCCCTGCCCTGACGCGCGACTACCTCGACATGACATTCCGGACCGAAGACCACGTCACGCTGCAAAACATCCACTTTGTCGGCATGGCCGTGGGCAACGGGCCCTGCGCCGAGGCCCTGTGGGAGTACGTCAAGGAGAACTGGGACGCCGTCTACGCGCGGCTGCGGATCAACAGCATCGTCTTTGAGTGGTTCGTCGACAACGCCCTCTCGGGCCTCGACAGCCTCGCGCTCGATGCCGACATTGCCCGCTTCTTCGCGGAGAAGGACCTGCCCGAGATGGCGCATCCGGTCGCCGTCGTGAGGGACAACATTGCGCGGAACGCGGCGTTTAAAGCGCGCGTGGGGCCCGAGGTGGTGCAGTGGTTGAAGGAGAATGGGCTGTTGGGAGCAGAGAGTTCGCGGTTATAGACGACGAGGATCGATTTGCTTTCGGGAGTTGCAAGCCGTTTCAATCGACGGGTGGGTTGCACGAACAGACAGATTGTCGTTTGATTTAATTGTGTGTGTGTGTGTGTGTATGTGTGTGTACTGCACTTTAGGTACAAAGCATAGCATGGTGTCGCATAGCATCGCATAGCTAAGGAAGGTACCTCGTCCCGAGTACATAGCTAGCCACTCATTCATCCAATCGTGTCAAGTAAACGCTCTGGGCATAGCAACACCCTTCGTAATACATCTGACAACCTTGAGCTGGTGAGTTGTCGTTGACGAAACGAAACAAACGAGCATACCACCTGTGTCACACTTCGCAGGCAGTTCCTGTGGCGTGCCACCGTGCTTGCTCGCTGTGCGACTTGTCTCATTCCGCAACTCCTCGGCGAAAGAAGTGATGAGCACTGGACTGGATGACTGTCTGTCTGTCTGTCTGTCTCGTGATTAAATCCCCGACTTACCCTGTATCAGCCCCGATCACAAGACAGTTGGCGTGAGTCGGGCATCTGCGTCTGCGCACAGGTACCGGTGGCGAGCAGGCAGGAGACCTCCTTGTAACCAGCTACCTGTTTGTGGAGGGTTGAGCTGAGTTGAGTTAGGTGTCGAGTCTGCAGTCTGGAAGTATCATATCTCACATCTCACATCTCATATCTCATGTCCCAAGTGCAAAAGTGTAACGTGTTCGCGGCAATGCACGCCTCGCCCACGCATTCCAGAATCGCGGGTGCGGTTATCTACGGAGCTTTGAGAAACTTTTCACTAAAGAAAGAGACGTACTTGTACTTGGAAGTATACTTACTTGTAGGCCGATATCGCGGGTTGGGCGAGGCTGATAAGTCCCCTCGATACATGTCCATGTAATGTTGAATGCAGGTGTGCATTGCATAGATAAAGACATACATACATACAGGCCCGATTGGGTCTGATAAGGACGGAGAAACCAGCCTGGGTTGTGCTACGGTATCGCTGGGTCTGGGTCTGAGTTTTGGGTTTGGGTTTTGGGTTTGGGTCTTGCTGGGTTTGGCTGGACTGGGGTGTAGTGGGCAGTAGTGGGATGTACTCGGTAGTGGGCTCTGTGTGAAGGTTTGTAATAGTTAGATACTCGGTACCTACAAAGAATAGATAGATACTAGCATCACTCGACTACATATCTACACACTGCACAAGTCGCTTATCTGTGGAAATATCGCTGCGGCCCATTTCACCTGTACTTGGGACTTGGGACTTGCTAGTCGCTAAGAGTACTCGTCCACATTTGATATCTGTCCAAAGACCGAGTTTTACAACTAGATACGCCCCAGTTCGGTATGGGTCTGGGGGCTTACTTGAGATTAGAATCCACGTGGAAGCCAGAGCGGAATTGGACATGGACATGGACATGGAATTGGTCTCGTCTCGTCTCTACTCCTCGTAGTCCATGTGCGTCGAAGAACACGTTGTGTTTTGCTCACCATGCATCGACATGGACGAATACTTGTAGAGACGTGGCGACTATTAACTTGAACACGGGTTGTGTTTCTCTATCAATACGATGACAGAATAATCCGGTGCCAGATGTTGGTTTCACAAGTATTTATGGCCGTTTCGTGAAGATGGTTCAAAGTGCCAGGACAGCTCAAACACCCTAGTCTGTCGATAGAGTCCGAGTCCAAGGAAAGGGGGTTTTTTTGTCAGGAAGGGGCAGTCCTTGGTCGATCCATCACATTGCTTGTATTATTACTTGTACACATGAATTGCAAATGTACATCATTTGTATCTTGTCGTCGCGTCTTTCAGTCTATTACCCCCGACTACCCTATCCGGTCGAATTTGGCTTGGTCGGATTTTTTCAGTCTCTCAAAGCCCTTCTCTCTCCACCATCCCTTTCTTCACCAGTTCAGGTAGATTTCCATCCCTCAAGCCTCAGAGGTGGCCTTGTCAGAAGTAGCCTTGGACTCTGTGACAAGCACCGTCTCGACGTTCTTGCCACTCGTCTCCGAGCCGGCATTCTCGTCCTCTTGACCATCGATAAGCGACTCGAGGAGGGTGGTCTGGGGATATTCATAGGGGAAAATCCAGTGGAGCACGTAGGACAGGACGGATGCTATTAAAAACCCCACAAATCAGCCAAAGGTTCGGACGGCTATACAGACAGCGAGACTTACCAATGACAAAGCCCAGGACAAAGGACAGCGAGAAGATGCGAGTGGCGCCGGTCCCGACCTTGAGTGACGGGTTGACGGCGTGCACGAAACCGGGCATGCTGGGCACGACGGCGCAGACCCACGATACGCAGGTGCGCCAGTTGATCCCGTACTTGTACCAGTACACCGACTTCTTCGAACCCTCGTACAGGTCTGGGATGTGGAACAGGCGCCGTTGGATGATCCAATAGTGCACGCACAGCAAGCCGATCATGGGGCCGAGGAAAACCGCATAGGCCGAGAGCACGGACAAGAACCTGTAGTGCCAAATCGTTAGAGAGTGGACATGTGGTGGCAACAACCAAGAACTCACGTCGAGCCCGAGGCCAATTGCTTCCACGGCACGGGGGCCACGCTGAGAACGGCGAGGATGTACGCCCCGCGGCGCAGGTTGATGTATTGCGGGAAAACGCTGGCGACATCGAGGCCACCGGCCAGCACGTTGCCAACGACGTTGATCGACAGCTGCGACACGATAAAGACGACGCCGAGGAAGAAGGCGGCAGCCCGGCCGCGAGAGCCATGTTTGTCCTGGATCGCCACGAACAACGTCGAGGGGTCCCAGAGAGGTGTCCCGTTGCCGTATTCTATAAGAACAATGTTAGCCTGGCTGGGGTCTTTCATGGCAATCCCGTAAAGGCACTCACGGTTCTGTGTCGCTGCAGTCACCACCACACCCACGATGGCCATGACGGAACTTGTGAGCATGAACGAAAAGGCCTGCGTGTAGGTGACGTGGCTGGGTCGCTTTGCAAATCGGGTGAAGTCGTTCTGGTTCAAGATTCCCGAGGCAATACTTCCAATGACCGACATGACACCCGCGGCCATCTGCCACCCCAACTCGGTCGACGAGATGGTGGTCTTGGAGTTGAACACGCTACCGTACCCTTTGCTGGTTCCCACGGCCCAGCCGAGCAGGACGAACAGTGTGATGCCCACCACGACCGAGCCAATGTGGAAATACGGCCGGAGTTGGCCGGGTCGGAACCAGATGAAGATGCAGCACAGCAAGTTGAAGAGGAAGTACCCCAGAAATTGGGCCGAAGTGATGCCCTGCGACAAGGGGATTTTGTTGGGAATGCGCTCGTCGAGGTCCAGCCAGATGGAGCGCAGGCAGACATAGATCATCTTGCCGCCAATGACGGCTTGGACGCCGTACCAGGTGATGGATGTCAGGATGCGGTTGAGGACGGGGAAGTATGCCCCCCACATACCTGCACGGGCAAGAGGTCAGTGATACGTGTGTTAAGCGGTCGAGCGGCAGAAGCACGAACCCCAGACACTTCGCGAGACGATGGGAAAGCCCAAGTGGCTGGCAGCTCCCGAAACCGAGTTGAGAACTGCAAAGGTACTGGCGAGGGCATTTCCAACCAAGATGACGATGATGGCTTGCCAGTAAGTCATGCCCGTCGCGATCAGTGAGGAACCGGTTTGATAGGTGCTGATGTTCAGGTTGACGAGGAACCACAGTTCGACGAACTGGAGTGGACCTGGACATGAAGACTTAGCAACGTGGCATGGACACACAGCTGGCATCGACGCATTTCCATACCCCAGGTCTGGCGCTCAGGAGGCACGGGACGGATGTCCTCATTGCTCCAGCGATTACCCTGTTCTTCCTCAGGAAGCTCAATCACCCTCAAGGCTCGTTTGATGACAGACATTGTTGGTAGAGGTCGGGTCAGGACTTCAACTTGGGACAAAGATCCGATGCTGGTACTGGATGAAATGTCCACCTCAGACCGCGTGGTATCCCTATATACCATATACCTCCCCTTTGGGCTGGGGGAAACGTTGATAACGATATCGAGGGTCTGGGAAGCCCAGAGTCTCGAACTTTGAGAGTTATCAGAGCCACCAAGATTCGCCTCCATCACCCTAAGGCACTTGGGAAAGCCTGGCCGATCCCGGATGGATATCCCCGCCACCGCCATGTGGATACTGGGGGGCCTTTTAACGCTCGGAAACAGACCGGCACAGTAGTCGAGATGATAAGTTGCTGAAGCAGGAAGCCCTCGCCGACTGGATCCACAATTCAGAGGGTCCTGGGATTCCGTTGACCAGCATTAAGGGCATGGCGAGTCTCGGCGGGCGGGAAGACTAACCATGAGTCCATGCCCATTGCCCATGGGTGGAAACTGGTTGTTATCTGCTCCACAGTAATATCGGGACGACCGCGGCAAAAGTCGTCGTTGCCGATCGCCAAATCATGGTAGTAACATATCTTCCAGCACCTAACGGCACGACCATGTTTTTAAAGCGACTTATCACAAGTCCTGTTCGTTCTGCTTTGAGACAACAGACCCTGTAGACCAGCAACTTGTGCAACAAAGGATTCAACTGGCCGCAACAATGGCGATTCAAAAGGTCTACAGGATTGGCGTCGATGTCGGTAAGGCTCCCTTTCAGCCAATCAGATGGTATCCAGGACGACTCTGTTAACTGTGACTAGGGGGGACGAATACGGATTGCGTTATTCTTCGTAAGTCGATGGATTCTTGCTGTGGTTAAAGGCGACGTGCCCTGACAAGGACACATGATAGACCCCGGCGAGGCGCATTTGCCCGATCGTGGGATACGCAGTGCGTTCAAGACACCAACCACCGCAAATGTCACCCTGGGCATTACCAAAGCCATCGAGGGGGCCATAGCGAAATGTGGCATCCCCTTGGAGGCTGTGGCGGCGGTCATGATCGGGACAACAGTGAGTCAGGCGGTGGTCAGATCAGAAACCACCTTCCTCAAAGACTAACACTCCCTCCCCAGCACTTCATCAATGCTGTTGTCCAAGCA